AAAAAAAATGGGAAAAAAAAGTCTAGGCTTCCAAAATTAATAACCCAGCAAAGCAGGTCATTTCTTATCACAAAAAGCCAGGGGGTTTGATGTTTCAGTGGGGTGGGAATTAATGAGGCTTGACAAGAGAGCCTCCAGTACAAGGTAGATTTATACTCATGGTTAGAAACCATTACACTACAGAGAATGTTTGGGTGACCCATGTAGTTGTGTCAGTCTATTTTCTTTGTGCACAAGGTACAGCTTTCCCCCTGTAACATGTTTCTGCAAGAAAGCCAAGGACTGAGTCAAACTAGAAACTTCACCAGCCTTTATCCAGCCTCAAACTACCAGGCTATGTACACATACAGGGCATGAATTACCTCAACTTACTGGCAGTCATTCCAGAACTCAGCAAACCTCATCTCCTTCCCTACCCACACACTGCTAATATTTTAGCAAAATGTGGGGATAAAAATTTTTTTCTCAGATGAAAAACCCAATCAGTTTCCAAGAGTGTTGCTCATTTATGGCCATCTACTATCTTCACATGATTAAAGGACTTATGGCCTGAGCAGGTGAGCAAAACACTGCAGAACTTGGAAAGTCTGGGTCTTCCAAAGCAAAACTGAAGTGTTATAAAAACATTACACAAATAAAATCTTGTGCTATTTGCTTCCTGTGCTGCAACAACTCAGCATGTACAGAAAGTACTGACATTTATAGGGATTTCCTATTTCACAGCATTTCATAATATGATGTGTTTCCCTGCAGTGCAAAGCACATCCTTGAAGACATTGAGACACCTCTCAATGGTGGTGAACCCTGAGACTGCCAGCTTGGCACCTTGTGGTTTGAATCTGCCTTTAGGATGTCTTCTGAAGCCAGCCAGGGATGACTGCTCACTACAGCTCTGCTCACAGTCCTAGAAGTCACCTGATAAAGGGCTTTAGAAGACTGATTTACAGTCCTGTACAACCAAATGCTTCAATTACAGACTTCTACCCATGCAAGTATCACCTAGAGAAAAACACAGCGTTTCTAGCTGAGCTACAAGCTGGAGCTGCAAGAATGCATGACAGAGTCTGCATTATACATCCTGCCTCTGCCAGCAACTGAGATTCACTGGGCACGGGGAGGATGCTCATTTGGCAAGACTGAATATGTAAGTGATTGGAAAATTAATTATATTCTTCTCTCTTTTGGTTGCAGTGACATTTTGCCCTTAAATTGTTTCTCTACTTATTTAACAGAAGAAAAACAAAAGCTCTTCTTATTTTCTTTTGAAGAGTATTTGCTCATGACACACACAAAACAAACTCCTGCAAAACAAGACTCACTTATTCATATTTATCTTTTTAGCCCGGTAAATAAACTCATCTACTGAAAAATCAATATAAAGCTTTTCCTATAATTAGAATGTTTAGACATTAAAAAAAAATCTGAATAGCTGGAAAGAAAGCAGCCATGTGTAATGTGCCTTCATGCATTTCATGGCAGAACTGGGTTGGGGTTCAGGCTGATGATCTGCGGAAAAGGAAACTGAGACATTGAAGCTGACCAACCCATTTGAATATATAATATACTCCTCTTAATTTCAGTGCAACATCAAACTGGGTTTTTTGGTTGGGTTGTTCTGTTTTTTTTGTGGTTTTTTTTTTTTTTTTTTTTTTTCAAGAGAAGCAGCCTTGTCTGACCTTGAATAAAATCAATTCATTAAAGTCTAATAACAAAATCAGAATGCCATTTTCCAATTACTTTCCATGGGGGGGAAAGCTTGCATTTGTGCTAACAACTTGACATTGTGATCAGTGAATATCTACAAAAGAAAAATCAATCTGCACAGATGGTCTAAATACTTGTAAGTTTTTGTGTGCTTGGATTTCAGCACAATTCATTTTTCTGCAGAAGATTAAGAAAGTAAAAAATGTTCTATGCCATTAAGTCAGGCTATTAAGTGTAATGGTAAAACGTAATTAAAGTAGGTTTTGTCACTTGCTATGTCTCACTTTTCATCATGAAAGTACGTAGCAATTCTGTTCCCAATCAGTTCCTCCAGCTCTTATTTTCCTGCCCAGAGTTGCACAGGCACTAATATTGTCCAAGACAATGACAGAAAAAGGATGGGACATTTCACACACTATAAGACATCAACAGTGAAGGGTTAAATGTACTTATCACAAATAAAGCAGACAGAAGATTAAATATTTTTTGAATTAATGTGCCTTTGCGGTTTTTAATATTTAAACCAAAATTAGAAGTGTTTCCTTATTGAAGTAGATGCTGGAGTTGCAGCATTGTTCAGGACTGCAGGGTGTGGTTGGCTGACCTTAGGTGGATGCCAGGTGCCCACCACTCCCTTTGTCTTCAGCACAGGGGCAGGGGGCAAAAAGATGGAAAAAAACCCTTCTGGGTCAAGATAAAGGAAGTTTAACAAAAGCAAAGGACACACATATAATTAAGGGAAGACAAAATATTCTCAACTTCCAATCAGCAGGCGATTTCCAGCCTCTTTTCAGGAAGAAGGGCTTCAGACAAATGCCATAATAATGAACACTGCACAGCAGTAGCCAAGACATTGGTGTACCATCCATACCCCAGCCCTGTGAGTGGATAATTACCTCCATCCCAGCCAGCCCCAAAACACAGGGATAACCAATCCCATTAATGTGAGGAAGTGAAATGTGATAGTTGGCTGAAAAAAGCTTTTCCATTACTTACTTCTCCACTGCATTGCAGAAACCAGCTGTGTTTTCATTACTTCCTTGATCTGCTTCAATCAGCTGGATAGCCCAACCTGCAGCCTAAAAACACCAACAAGACCCCAGAAGAAACAGAGCTGAGTTATTTAGAAATGAGAAGAAGAAAGACCACAAGGCTCATCTTGAATTTTGTTCCATGAGAGCCTATCATCCCTGCCCTGACTTGATGGACTCCCAAATAAACACAAATGACCCCGTTTTGACTGCACTCTAAATGCCTTCACAAGTCACAAAGCAACAGCTGCCCTGGGTACCAACTGTTTCCTCCCTCCCATGCAAAACATGAGGAATTTCAGACCAAGCTTTTAGGATTCACCTGGTATCAAGGCACAGGTAACTCCAAATGCAGATATTTCATTTACAAAAGGGAGAAGGACAAACTGAAACTTGTGCTTTGGTGTGTTTTAATCCTTATTTTCTCTCTTTCTGCCCTGGCAGAAAGCTCAGCATCCCCTCAAAATCCATAAACCTGTCAGGTAAATCCCTAAGAGAGAGAAGAGGGAACCAGTGGACCCTACTGAACCTGAAAAAATCCCTACATACTTTCTGTGAACTCGGGGAGCAGAGGTCTGAGCCACTGCTTTGGGTCAAGCATCCCTTTGTCTGTTTGTCTGAAGTACTCTTCAGCCAGAATATCATCTCCAGGAAAGAATTTAAGGCTATTATATCTACAAGCCCTTTCTGCCCTTGTAGGTAGAGACATTACAAGGCTTAACTGTATAAGAGCATTTCAAGCCCTTCAGAAAGAGAAAACAGAGACAAAAGGCTTATTTTATAATTTGAAGAATAATTTATATAAAAGCATGAAAATTTATTAAAAATAACTAATAAACAGAACTTAAGATTCTTTTTGGCTGGATAAGAAAGTGCAATATGCACTTAAAAACTGCAGGGTGGGAAATATTAGTTATAGTTTAAAAGATGGGATGAATATAAAATATGAGAAATCTTCTGGGAGCTGGCTGGTGGGGAAATCACAACAACAGAACTGAAAGCTCAAAAGTCAGAAATCTTATGAGTATACAGTAAAACCCAAAACTGATGGTATTTAGTATTTTTATTATCCACAATACCACACAAAGCATTAGGAGAGTGCACATGGAATTTAAAGATACTAAGGGGGCATCATCAATAGAGGGGAAAATTGAAATTGTCTGGCAGGAAAAAAACAATGGATAATCCTGAAGGTGTAAATAGAGTAAAATTAAATTCAGCAATCTAAACCAGTAGTTCATCAATCCCTGGTTCTAAGAACTCCTGGGGAAGGTCCTTCAAAATCCAGTGAAAATCTAACACCTCCACTAGTTCATTGTTTCCATTTTGGTTAGGCAACTACTTTTCAACCACCTCATGGGACAGTAATAAGAATTTCTGTAGGATGTTCACTATTTAGAAATTATGAGTGATTTGGTAACAGTAACAGCCATCAAAAATTACCTATTCATTAAAAAACCCTACAAAACACTAACACAGCCTCCTTTTTCTCCTGCAGCTCTGTCCTTGCAGAGCAGGTAGAGTGCCGTGGAAAAAGTAAATGGAAAAAGAGAAATAGGCACTGAGTGAAAAGCTAAGAAGATTAGCCCACAGGTAAGAAAAGGTGAGGCTGGCACATGACATTTAAGGGAATCGAAGGAATTAAAAGAGCCAAACCACAACTGCAAACTAAGGAAGGAAAAACAGAGAGGAATTTGAGCAAGAAGAGGGACAAGACTTGGAATGCATGATTTGCCAGAAGGACATGGGTATGAAGTCTCAAATCCTAATGGCTGGAAGTAGAGTATGATTAGATAATTACTAAAGGATGGAAAGACTGACAGCCCAAAGCTGCAATCTGGATCCTGCCCTGCAGGACACAGGAGCGGCACAGGAGCCCTCTGCTTTTTTGCACCTTTGCTGGCAGCATCTCTGAGCAATTCCTAATGGCAAACAAGAATTCTGTGAGGCAGCAATAGAATACACATCTGCAAAATACCATTGCTAAGTCCCTCAAAGTCATTCTAGAGGCAGAGGTGTATAAAGGTGATAAATAGCTCCAGAGATGAGAGATCTAGTTTGGTCATGTCTTCTTTTCACATGTCCAGAAACTTTACCTTTATATGCAAGAAGAAGAAAGCGAAATGTTAATTACATTATGGCACGTTATTTTTCAACAGAAATTGAGTCTCCATGCACTGCAAATACATTAAAGAGAGCAGTGAATGAGATGGAGCTCCATATCAGGAGAAGTAATCACAACAGGGATGAAGCAACTGAATGTGTCCTTTAATGACTGGATTTTTTTTTTCATTCATAGACTTCTCACATTATGCTAATCAAGTCACCTAAACCACCCTATTGTGAACAATAATAGTGTATTTCTCATTTCTGGAGCACCAAAAACAAAATCATGATGTTTGGTCTGATGATGGACTTGGGTGAAGATATGAGTCTTGTTAGTTACTCTGAAAACATTAGATTCTAAAATTAGATCCCAAATATCACAAAGAGAGTAGCTAAGTATATTAGTTAGATATCTTTTAGGTTTTATTTCAGCTTTCTTTCTAATATGGAAAAAAATAGCATCTCCTTTCATTGGGATGTTATGAAGATAATTTCCTTTATTGTTTTTGAACATCTGCAATGAGAAGGCCAGAAAAAAATAATGTTTCCTTTATTATATTGGACACATTTTGATTGGCACACATTAAATAAAGCCTAAGGCCATACAAATGCATCCAAGAGCTCTGGATCAGAATACCAGAATGATTTCAGCAGTTTGAATATTTCATCTTGCCTACCTATGACCCATCTCAATTCTTATCTCTGTGTCTCAGCAGCCTTTGTATTTCACTCTGAAGACTTGGTTCTCCCCTCCTACTACTTGCATGCATTGTTTACTTGTTCTGGACCTCAAAAAAACCAAGCTGTTCTCATTCTTTTGCTGTGGTGTTCCACTTTCCCAACCCTTCCGACTGCCTTACTCAGCATCAGGTCTGTCAGCCTGCAGCACTTGTCTTTTCCAAAACTCCCAGCCTAGCAGCAGTAACTGCTTTACAGGCTTTTTTTTTGCTCCTCCCTCTCTCTAAGAGTTCCTTTGACTCTTATTTTCTCTTATCATCTCAAGGTTCAGCTGCCAGCCCCCTGCCTTGGCCCTCTTTCTATCTGACATGGCTTTTTCTCCCCGAAGTATTTCCTGTGACCACAGTGAATTTTATGCTACAAATCAATTCACTACTCTCTCCCATTTCTTCCTCTTGGAGCTAAACAGCTCAAATACTTTCCTGACTTAATCAAATCCTCCCACACATTCGATTGTAGTTGCCCTTGACTCACTCAGCTCTTCTTTTCCCTCCCCTATAATTCTCTCCTCCTCCATCACAGAAGCGTTTGTGCCTGTTCTTAAATGTGTGCTTCCTCTAGCACCTCTTCTTCCCATCCCATGATTTAATCTCCTCCTGCTCATTTGTATCCCACTATTTTCTGCCTTTCTCTTGAGAAGGCTTGTTCTTTTCATCACCATTTTAGCATGCTTCAGTTTTCCTATCATGAGTAAAAAGCAACAACAGCCTTTTGTCTCTCCACCTCTACCCCTCCTCTTTTGTATTCATCACTGAAATTCTGAAATGCAGTGCACAGGATTAGTCTTAACTGTTCTTGTCCTCAGATGTATTTCCTCCCGCTGCCTTCCCATCTGTCTGGGGCTGCATATGTTTACTTTTATAGTTCTCCTTATTCAGAGACATAGAAACAAGTCAATCAAGTGTCTCTTCCCCTCTGCAGTATGATACTGTGATCACTGGGACTTAAAGGCAGAAGGTGAACCTAAACTGTCTTTTAATATTCATGGTGCAGAGGTATCCTGTAGGCTATTTCAGGATTCCTATAATGATTCAGAATGCTAACAAGCACTGGAGGAAAGGAAGGATTTTTCATTTTCTTTTCCCTTCTCCAGATCAGGATTTTGAAAGAAAGAAAATGAGGACAGATATAACATCACAGAGAGTCATGGGAGTCACATAAGACACTGTTATTAAAAATGGCAAAATCACAAATAGAACTATGGACACCTGACGAAGGAGGAAAAAAGATAAAGTGTTTGTTTCACACAGCTGAAAGACAGAGTGTGTGTCATAGGATCCAGCTTCCACAGTTAGAGTAGAGGTGTCTATTTTTAGAAAAGAATTACATATGCACACAGAACTGCATGCAGGACATGGTGAAGGTAGGATTGGCTATATGTTTCATCTCTCAGGATCAGGATATGTCAGCCAGACTAGACACGGAGACAGTAATCTCTCTCAACAGCTACACCAACACCCCAAAAAAACAAACAAACCAGATTCAACATTATGTATTGTAATTTTCAATCTCAGGTTTCATATCAGACCATAAAGGTTTGTCATGTTATCTTTCAAACACAACTTACTCTACATTTCTGTACTTATCCTTCTCTGGTAGTTTTATGGTTCAGTGAGCCATAAAATGAGCCTACTGGAGCATTCTAGACCATAATCTAGATTCTCTTCTAGTATGAAATTCTTTTGCTTCCCCTGAGGCATAAATGTTTTATTTTTCGTAATGTCTTCCAATTAAGCGCTTCCAATCCATGTTGCAACAGTGTGAGTGAATACACAAAGCACAAGGACACAAACAAGAACAAAAAACCTTAAGCACTGTTAATATAAGAACATTTAAATACCTCTCTGGTATGTCCAGAGCCCTGGGAATGGATAGGTCCTGTGCTGCATCTTCTGGAAGTGTTGGTTACAGAAGCTTCCCCATTTCCACTTTCTTCTCTCATTTTTTGTCCAGATGGATAACTATCTAAGAAAACAGGACTTGCAGCATCCAGATTGTCAAAGCCTATCTGAAACTCCAGATTTGTGTTGCTCCTTTCCACGTTTGAAGCTGAATTTACACTTTTCCTTCCATGGATTTCCCTCTCATGACTATAGGGGTGGGAATCCATCACAGAGAAGTTTCTGCAGTCAGGTAGCAAGGAAGGTCTGAAGCCAACCATTGGTCCTACTGTGCCTTGCTGCCAGAGAGGGATTGGACTCCCAGGGTAAAGCTCTCCATGAGCAACCAGAGGATGACTGTAAAGATGCTGGTCAGGCACACTTTGTCTGAAAAGGTCTGCTGGGAAAAACATTTCTTCGTGATGATGTGCGTGGGATAAACCATAAAAAAAAAACTCATTGCTGACTTCATCGACGATTCGATCAAATCCTAGAGGGATCTCTCCACCAGAGCCAGGATGGCACATTGGGTAAGATGCTTGGTCCCCAGGCTGTCCTGCACAGAATTCACTCTGGGAGAAGGGCACCCTCCCAAAGTCTGCCATGGCTGATGGGTCCCTTCAGCTCCTCAGCAAAGTCTCATTAGAGTTCCAAGGTCCAGAGAGCAATGCTCACAACTGGAGAGGCACACCACTGAAATAAAGCACAGAATGGAAGTTAAACCCCAAAATATCTAATATAATGAAAGCACTACACTGCTTTGGTCTTTTTTTGTTTGTTTGTTTTAGAGCTTTCTTCAGAGAGTGGAAATTTTTATTAATGTGGAGGTTGATTGTTCTTTTGTTTGAATGTTATTTCCAGATATATTATTATTATCATAGTTGTAATAATAACAACAAATTACTACTATTATTATTATCTTTGACTCATAAATAATAGCAACAGGATGCCTGAAACAGCTGATCTAAGTATGAAACACTAATTCTGAGAAATCTCTAAGTATTTTCCTCTTATTTCTACACTTGCATAGCACACAATGCAGGAAGGAAGAGTTTGTATTAATGGTTGTCAGTTTCATTTACATTTTCTTCTTTTTTGTGACTCTAATTTCTTCATATTCTACCACTACTTATCTTAGTGTAATCAGGTGAAGAAAGTTAAGTCAAAGAACAGAGAAGACAGGGACCTCCAATTGATATTCCCCAAAAGCTAGGACATATAAAGGAAAAAAATTATATATAAATAAATTTCAGCCCTTTTTTGTTTCTTGTTTTACAAAAGAAATTTATCATCAAAGCCTGAGGCTGGCCTTTTTTTTAGCAAATTTACAGTCAAGGGCATGAGCTTCTGCAGCTCCATCATTAATGTTGTCACTAGCAAACTTCCTGATCTGATTTTGGCATGTGCCAAGTACTTCTATGGCTCAGATGGGCAGCATGCACTGGAAACTGCTGTCAGTATGCATGAAGATATATTTTTTAGGAAGGGAGCTCAGTTCTACAGCCAAAGTCTATTCTGGGCCATTTGCCCTAAAGGCATTGGCCTGTTTCACTTAGTGATACAGATGTAGCTTAAAACCCACAAATGGCACAGAACAGCAATACCACACACTGCACACAATTGTGTATTTATCACCTAAAAGAAATAGAGACATCTGATTTAATAATTCCATAAAAAAATGTATTCCTGAGCAGAAAAAAAAAAAGCTGTTGAGCTACAAAGTGTGCTCAGAAATTCTTAAAGTTTAGCTCTGCAAATAGATTTTTCATTAAGCCCCCATGATACTGTATTATTTTAGATAACAGCATATTGCAATGAAAATCTGTGTTACAACAGAAGGTATTCATCCCAATTTTATTTATTTTTGTTTCATTTTAAGTCAAACTCCAAGTGACATAAGCTTCTGTCACCCACAGTGTGGAATGAGAAATGAAAACTTAAACAAGCTGAAATCAAACCTGCAACTCAGAGGGCTGAACTACTGTTTCAAGCACTCCACTTAGTAATTCCATGTGTTGCATGCTTTGGTTTGCTTTAACTGTGTTGGAAAAAACCCCACATTTATGAAATTACTAGGCCAGATAACCAAACTGATGCATACCACTTTGGTGATCTAAAATGCAATTAGAGTTTTGTAGCTTTCCCTCAGAATGAATGCTAAGTTTTCTGTGTTTTTAGATAAAAATGACACTATTAAAAAAAAGCATAACAACAAAAGTTCCTTCTATGAAATTGTCCTAATTTACAACTTTCTCTGTTTTTCAATTCCATAGCAGGTAAATAAAAGAAAACAAGAAAGAAAATTATATAGCCATTAATTCAAGAAGAATTTTAAACCCATCTTGAAAATTTGAATGTTTCAGGAAGAAATAAAAGATAATATAATGAAATCTTCCTCCAGTTCCATCTTCCTTAAAAAAAGCTTGGCTGTCTGGAACACTACTAGGCACAGAAAATACAATACCTTTTATACCCTTTCAACTGTTCCTAAAATATTTTCCTTGCATTTCCAACAAATTCTGTTTATGATGGCACATAAATGCCTAACATCAAACCTTGAACAGGCTTCCTGTGACCTCTGCACAGAAACATCCTGTGTCTTTCATAAGGGCCTGTATTTAAAACTGACCCTGAGAGAGGAAGCTCAGCATGCCATGGTGCAAATCTCCAAATTTCCATGGTGTAAGTCGTGCTAGTTTGGTCAGAACCACCAGGCTCTGCATTTGGGCCAACTCCTCACCCTTTTCAAAGCAGCAAACAAAGGTCAGGGAAGGAACTGGCTCTTGGCCAGCCACTATTTCACCTTCTAAGTCTTGTCAAGTGTATTAATAAAAAAATTTGCATAAATCACTAAGGAGTCAAAATTTACATGAATTTTTATAAAACACCCAAGTTTTGTTTTGTTTGGTTTTTTTTTTTTTTTGTGTGGTTTTTTTTTTTTTTTGTTTTTTTTTTTTTTTTTTTTTTTTTTTTTTTTTTTTTTTTTTTTTATTTTTTTTTTGCCTTGTGGTTTCTCGATCCAAACTTAATTTTGGAGGGTTTGATTTTTCTCCATGAACCCCTCCTTTTTTTTTTTTTTTTTTTGCCTTGTGGTTTCTCGATCCAAACTTAATTTTGGAGGGTTTGATTTTTCTCCATGAACCCCTCCTTTTCCTTTTGAATGACAGATGTATTTACACATGATCTTGTGGTTCTGGGATCAGGGGTTTTAAGGGAGAATCCCAACCAATACTGTAAAATATCCACTACAAATCGATAGACTTGAGAGTCTCACAGCACTGCAAGTACCACCCAAGCACACAAAACCACTTTCCACACTTGGCCATGCCCGTGTATCCTCGTAAAAAACCTTGGCACTCTGCGGGCTCAATTTTCGCTTTTACCGATCCCAGGAGGAGATGACGGGACACTTGCTAAGCAGTAAGAATATCTGTTGCAACTCCTTACCTGAAGCACAATTTTTTAGAAGGATATAGAGCCTCCTGTGCCTTCCTGCTCACAGACATTTTCGGGTGACCTATGTGCTTTCACTATTAAGGAGGCGGAACTTTTCCGTCAGGAGATTTCCTTCCTGTTTAACCGGTTTATGGAGGTGATGAGTCTCAGGAAAAGTTCAAACCACAGTAGCAATAAAAAGGTAACACCTTATCTATTCTCCTTCTCAATTTGGAAAATCAACCATACATTTTATTTTATATATACATATATGGCAATAGATTATCTCACATTTTCAGTGCAAATTTCCAACATGCTTAAAATAACAATTTCATTAAAGGGAAAGAATTGACTCTTAGGAAGATTTATGCATAAGAACAGGAGTAAAAAATTTTCTCTACTCCATCTACATGTTCCAAAAGGAGCTCCCAGCTCCAGCCACAGGGAAGGAGACAGTACAAACCTCTGATGGCAGAGTGGCCCTCTGGCTTTGGCTCCTCGGTGTGCAGAGCTGGCATAGCACAATAGTGGAAGAACTTCCCTTATTCTGGGATATTTCCCAAGGACCAGTGAGGACTTGGCTCTCTGCAAAGGGCCCGAAGAGCTGCAGTAAACACAGACCTGGCCACGTCCATCTTTCACATCCTCAAAGAGCCCAGTGCCCTCCATAAAAGGGAGCAGCACAGGCTGCTCCAGACACAACACAGAAGGACTTCCCTCAGGGACCACTCGCCTTCACACTTCATACCATTCCTTAAAAAGTTAGCAATTGCTCCACTGAAGTGGCTATTCAGAATTCAAGCAAAATCCCAAGGTTGTAACAGGCAAGAAAATATCCTCAGAAGCAGGGAGGGAGTAAGGGTCAACAAAACAGAATTTCGGTCATAAAAAGCCATGCAATAAGACTGAACAGATTAGGAGAAAGCATATAACGTTAATAATTAATATCTGCTATCTTATATCTGATAAACTGAAGTTATAAATTGATAAAATTAGCATTACAGGAAAAAAGCCCTGGCCTTTAAAGCATAAAAGCTGTCAGTGCTGTCACTGTGATTTAAAAGCAGTTAGACAAGGACAAAACTTATTTCAGTTGGTGAAAGGTGATGCATATTTTGTCATATATTCTCCATGTATTCTTTCAAAATGCCACCTTGCTCCATGAGATATTTGGTGGCATTTGTGCTGCACTGCTCTCATTTCCAGGGGTTACTGTGAAGTGATCCTGAGAGAGAGGAGCTCACCAGTTTTAGGAGCTGCCATTTCAGGGTTTCTGCCAGTGCGGTGTTGCTTCACCTCACAGGGATTGGACACAGCTGGAGGAGGAGGATTGGGAAAACAGGAAATACTCATGGGAACAGCTCATATTCCAAGCACACACAGAAGGCTACACATAATACAAACTGAGCTGGGACCTCTTTCCCCATGGTGATTTCCAGGAGAAGCCTATGAAGATTTTTCTTGAGAAACTCTGAATATTTTCAGAATTTTCCCAGGCTTTTAGGGTGTCCACTAATTCTCTGTTTCGTGCTTCCCACTAAAGGAGCAGACAGGGAACTGCTGAGTCACTTTCTACCCTAATTCCTCCTGGAACTGCCAAGAATTGCCTCGTCCTCTTTTGCCGGCGTGTGGGACAAAATTTCCAGAGACGAAGAAAAACCAGACAGTCCCTGGGATGTTCCCTGCACCTCTGTTAGACACTCTCCCTGCTCCACCAGCCGGCAGGAGCCACAGCTCGCTCAGATGAAGGAATAATTTGATTTAGCCGTGCACCAGCGTGCTCTTTGGAGCCAGCTCTGCTACAGAAAGAGCTGGCAAAACAATCGCTCCACGCCCCCCGGGATGAAGCACAACATCTCCAAGCAGGTTTTACTCCCAGGGTTGCTTCACAGGCAGCGTGGAGTTTCTGAAATAGAGCTCTTGCGTTTGAAGCCTGCAGGCTTGCAGTAATAATAGGCTTGCAAAGGGAATGAAGCGAAGTGTTTTAGCAATCCGTGGGGATGGAAAACTGGCGAAACAGAGCGCCAGTGAGGAAACTGCTCCATCCTTCTGTGCTCCTATTCTCCAGTGCCACCTACTGTCATTTCCCCAAAACTGTGAGGCAGGGAGCTGAGATCTCTGCGTCAAGGACAGCGGCAACGGAGCTTTATGTCTGGCTCTGGGGGGCATAATTTTATCCATCACCATCACTGGCAAATATGGTCCCTCTCAGAAAGCTCTTTGGGGAAAACATTCCTGATTCCCGACGTCCTGGATCAGCGCTCCAGAGTACTGCTGCACCAAAGGGATGACAAAGTGACAGCAAAACTACAGAGATACATCAGGGCTTTTCCATGAAAAAAAAAACAAACAACAAAACAAACAAACAAACAAAGCCAGGATGTTGTGTTTAAGCAGCAGATGAATAAAAATACTGGCTTTTAAAAAAAATTAAAAATAGGTTGTTTTGTATTACAGGCTCTTATTTCTTTCTCACAAGTTTCATCAAGAAGGGATTGTGTCCTTCCACCTGTTTAGTAAAACCCAGCAGAGGAGATGCTGCTGGGCAAAGAAAATAAAAGTTGCAACAGACACAATACAGTGGTTGAGTCATTACAATGATTCATCAGTGAAGGAGACATTTGTTGGAAAGGGCAAGGAGGACTTTGCAATTCTGAAAACACTCCTCACCCTCTATTTACTCACACAGAACAAGAAAGGGAAAGGACGGAGAGGAAAGAGGGGGCGGGGAGCAAAGTTCCAGTTTTCTGAGAAAAACAAATTGAAAAAAGAAATTGTTTAACATAGAAAACATTTTCACAGGCTCTGCTGACACCTCCATCTAAAATACAGAGTTACTAAGTTACCAACACCCTCCTGAGGTTTGAAATAGGCTGTTGTGAAAGATCAACCTCCACAGCCTGCAAAGCTAGCTAGGACTAAACGTAGCCCACGGAATTTAATCTCTCCTTTTATTTGAACATCTTTTGTACTTTGATCTTCTGAAAGGAACAGTGCCCTTCAACAGTGTTGTTCCTAGCAGAAACAATTACTCTGGGTTTAAAAAAAAAAAAAAAATCAAATCTCTGAAAAAAATTAGGTGCTGGAATGGAGGACAGTTTTAATGTATATTAAAATATGCAGCTGAAATAAGGCAAGCAGGCCACTTCTTATGTGCAAACACACAGATACACACACATATATGAAGGTTTATATGTGTGTCTCTAAACACACATGTATGTGCATGCAAATATATATATGTCTACACTTACATACATCGATCTCTCTATTAAAGCCTAAAATAGGTATATACATAGAAACATCTATTAAATGCTAAGGGGCCCAAGAAGAGAGCTTAAATTATTCAGAAAAGAAGTCAACCCACAAGTTTCAGCTAAAAGTCAAAAACCCCAAAACTGAAGAGTGCTTAAAGCCAAAGCTCTCACTCAAGATTTCATAAATTTCTCTTTTTTTCTTCCATTTCTCTTACCTTCTCTGTTTTCTCCACTGTTTTCTTATGCTATTCTTTTCATCTTCCCACTCCAGTGGCTCTCTGGGAAATTGGCTTTGTCATTCCAGTGTGTTCTGTAGGGTTTGTTGACCTTCTAGAAACTGTTCACACCACAGACTGCACAAACAAAAACACTCTTGAGTTTTTTACTGGCACACTGGTGAGATATGTTGTGTTTAAACAGCAGATTAATAAGAATACTGGTTAAAAAAAACAATGCTTGGGCCTTCTGCAAGGCTGCCAGAGCAGAAGGAGGACAAAGACCCCTCCAACAAAGGACAGCGCTCAACCACCCACTCCTGCAGACCAGGGCTCTACTACCTTTACCAAAGAAAAACAACTAACAACTCTTTAAGCATAACAGCATCTCTATTTCCAATATTGCCTATATTGCAGTATTACAGCAGCTTAAATAATACACTATTTCTGAATTTCCCTGAACTTCTTGCACATGGTTAGCTTCTTCTTTCTTTAGACTTTAATTTTATTGTCATAATTGCTCACAGCACAATTGAAACTGTTGCTTAAAAAAAAAACAAACAAGCATACAAAAAAACAACCATACCACTTTTACAAAAGAAAAAGTTTGTGGGTGTATATATAATTTTTAAACCAACTGAACAGCATTCCTTATATGCAATTCAGGATATAAAGCATCTGCTTAGATAGTTAATTTGGCTACATACTTATGTTGCCTGTGTATGTCAGCAAAGCATTCATTACTGTTTTCATTACAACTTTACCTGCAGCATGAAAGCCAACAATAATTTACTTAACTTTTAACATAAATAATGCAAAGGAATGGCTTACCTGCAATAAAACATATTTCTGCAAACTCCTGTGTGGAAACCACACCCACAGCAGCCCTCCACCTCAATTGGACTGGCTGGCAAAGATGTACTTGCAGAGGTGAGAATACAATTTCATCTGTCACCCCAAAGTACCTTCCCCATCTATCTATGGGGACAAACACACACATTATTCTTAAACATTAACTGCTCCCTGCTGTGTCAGGCCCTGTGCTAGGCTGCTGGTGGTCCAGCCAGTGATGCTTTTGTGTATTTGAGCCAGGAGGGCAGCAAGGAGGACCCTGTCCATTGTGCATCTAGAATGAAACATGTGAGGTGTTTTCCCTGGAGCTGGAGACTCCTGCCCTGATAAACACACACCCTATTCCATACCAAAGTGCTCATCCCACTGCAGCAGCCACCATGTGGATTTGTGCTCTGTCCTGCACTACTCTGGGCAGCCCAGCCAAATCCTTGCTGCTGCCACTCCTCTGGCCTCCCCCAGCTTGCTCTGTGCTCCTCTCAGGAGCAGGAATAGGTGGATGCAGGAAGGGAATCACTGTGTTCACATCCCAGATGAGCTGCTCCACCAGTACCCCTGGGGAGAAGAGTAAGGGCAGGACAAAGCCCTGCTGAAGCAGATACCTAGGGGAAGATAAAGGAGGAGGAGTCAATATCCATGCATGGTGGTTCCTACAGGTGGCTGGTGTCTTCCAGGGACAGGTTCCCAGGTCACAGTGAGGTCAGATCATCCGGCAAGCATTGGCTTAGGAAAAGAAGAGAGAAAAGCAAG